ACAAAACAATACATGTCAAAACTTAAACATAAAAAGATGAGGAATTTGAGTTAATTCGTTAACAACAATTTACTTTTTCACCTACTATGTGCCAGTGACACTGCCATAGATGTTGGGAATCTACCACTGATGGGTCAACCATCAGAGACCGGACTACAGAGGTGAATGTTAGTGAGGGTGCAGAGAACAGACACACAAGAGTCCCTGGAAACCTGCCTCAGCCTCCCAAGTAGCTAGGACTACAGGCGCCAAGCGTAGGTCCTGCAATTCTAAAGACTGAAACAGGCCTCTCCTACCTTAAAATATATCCTGCACCCCCTCCTGCTATGGGTCTATCCTTCAGAGCCTGAAAGCCCTGCCCAGAGTCAGAACACAACAAAATTAGTGGTCTGTAGAAGTCTCTTGTGTTCACACAGAAAGTCAGGAAGCCCTTCAACTCTTTCCTACTTAGCATTTTAATGTAGAGGTTTGGAAAGGTAACAATTAAGTAGAGGTCACTGCAGGATAGAGGCAGGGAAAACAGGCTGGCTGACCCTGGAGTCACCCACAGGAGGCATCTCAATGTCACTCAGTAAATAACAGCAGCAGCGTAGACTGACCGCCTCCTCTCTGCCAGGCCCTGTGTGAGGCATACTGGAGACAGGGTGGTGAGCAAAACGGACACAGCCTGGCTGGCTAGGAGGAGCTCCCCCTCCACTGCACCCCACAGTCCACACAGTTAGGAACTGCTAAAAGTGCAACAAAAGACACACCCAGGCACTTGGGAGAGCATGCAGCAGGGGGCCTGATACAATCCTCCAGCCAGGGTGACCTCTCAAGGACAGAACATTCCAGCTGGGAGTAAAGCAGGGGTAGGAGTCTCTGGGTAACAAGGGCAGGCAGAGAGAAGGTCTGGATCAAAGCTCTGAGACTGGAGGACTCGAAGGCTAGTGTGGCCAGCACATGGTGTGAGCACGATTCCCATCCAGCCCCTGACATGTCTGGATTTCCATGAACAGCAAGTAAAACTTAAGTCATCAGCAGTGGCCTGGCAGCCACTGTGCCAACAGGGGCCAATGGTGTTGAGTACTGGGATCGCCTTCTGCAGATTCATAGGTGACG